ATACGTCTGATTTACAGTCAACTGCTGATACGATGCAAAAAAGGCGCAAAAACTTAAGTGTACTATATACGCACTGATAAAAAAACAATGTCACTAAGTCAAGGTGCGTTACCAGTAATTTTAAACATTAAAAGGAAGGCATTTTAAAAGATGAATCTATTCAAATTCTCGACTCTATATTGTAATTCACATCGACTCTCGCTTACGGTGGAGGAAAACATGTCTTGGAAAACACGTTAAGGCCCTCACCCGCTTTAGCCCACCGTGGGGGACTAGGGTCTACCTAAACTCTCTTTTTAGAGTGGTGCCCAGCAATGGAACCTATAATGCATTGATGAAGCCTTAAAACTGCTGATACGGGATTCTGAACATAAATACTTTGGAAATAAAGCTATTTTTCAGTTCTAAAATCGCGCATAAGTATTTGTTTTTAGAACAAGAAAGACAAAGTTTCATGCTCTTTACAGGACCCATGAATACGGCTGACTGTGAAGGTATTAGTCAGTTCTATTGCCTTAACAAATTAGACCTACGAATGCTAGCATGAAGTGAAAATTCAAATAACCCTTTATTTCATAGATAAACAAATTATACTTGAAATCCTCACATTTGTAAGATATATTCCCCCGAGAAGAATGAATAAGACTTTAATATACATAAAGAAGTATATATTTAAGTTAAAAAGACAAAAAATGGTATTATGACTTACAACAATTTACGTGTGAGGTATCGATATCCGTCACCCCTGTTTTGTCATTACATATGGTCTAATTTCGTCTTATTGACGTTAGTAGTGAAAATAGGAAGGCGTCGCCAACCTACGTCACTGTCTGTTCGTAATAAAGCCTTGATATTCTGATGTTTATATAGCTATGATAAAACTGTAAATTAAATAAACGAATATCACGATGTTTGTTTAACAACACTGTGTGTTTAAAGATGTTTATTTGCTTTTAAAGCGGTGGTAGCCTAGTTGGAGAACAGGGGCTTCTCGATTGATCTCCGAGGCGGCATGTACGAGGGGCGGCTGAAAATTAATCTACCAAAGTAAGAAATAAAAGCCGACTCCGGCTACTTTTTTTCAGTATGAAATGTATATAAAAATAGGAAATGCGTGTATATATTTGTTACAAAGGGACATTACTCTGTTAAAACACTAAACATTTTGCTTTTTTCTTTCGCCATTTTGCGAAACGCAATAAATAAAACAGTATCACTAATTTTGAAAAAGAATAAATAACGAATGCGTCACGATAGTGGCCTGTATTATTTTTGAATTACAAATTGTCAAAAGAGATTTAGTACTTTTCAGCCTCCTCTCGTACTTATGATTAATTTTTGAGCTACTCAAATTCTGTAGTGAATTTTTAGCAACAGTAAAAGAAAACATTGCGATGAAACATATAAAGTGTGAAGTCACGAACCCACATTCTCTGGTCTGGTTATGGTCCCGTTTCCTAGAGACCTATGCCTCAACAGTGGGATTTTTAAATTTTCTGGTTGTTTGATACTTTGAACACTAAGAACAAAACGATGGTTACCTATCAATAGACCGAAATGACATTTTCTAGAAATAACGTTTGGTCGAATTTTCATAACCTCGAGAGTAATTTTGAGAAGAAATTGTTTTTTTCTTTTAAGCCTAACTTAACCTAACCGAACCTAATCGTGTCTTTGCGATAAACATGCAACCTATCCTGAAAGAACAACGGTTTCGTTATAATTCGCTTTTCGGTGTAATGAAAATTCGATGAAACGTTATATCGGAAAAAAAAATTCAAGTTTGTCATAGGTTACGCAAAACGATTTAGTAGCAGTAGAGCTCCTTGTGTAAGAAGTCTTACAGAGAAGTTCTGCTTTCCGGTTTTGAATTGTAAGGGTGCTGGTGAAACTACATGCATATGGGACTTGTCAATGTCTCAGGGTGACAGGCGCAGTGGCATTGGCAGTGCCACGACTTGTTCGTTCCGTCACTTGGTGTCATAAAAATAAATAACTAGTAATGCATCAAGGTGAAAAAGTAAATCATGAAGCATAACGCGTTTAATGTGCCGTCAATGTTTTTACAAATCAGGTTAGTCGAGCCGTAAATGAACCTTTTTTTTGACGAACCCTTGGCCACAATCTTCCACTTGATATGGCCAACGATGTTACGCGTTTGTTTTGCAAATGCCTGTTTACTAAGCCTTAAATTGTGGCAATTAAAAGTTGTGTGTAATTTAATTAAAAATCCATTGAGAATACATTGCAATTATGTGCCACCGAAACAATGAATTGGTTTCAAACCAAATTTCCCGATCGCATAATTTCACGAAATTCAGCCGCTAAGTGGCCAGATCGATCATGTGATTTAACACCGTTGGATTATTTTTTATGGGGTTATGTTAAAGACAGAGTCTATACGGAGCCAATCGAATCGATAGCAGCCTTAAAACTCAACATTCGTGAAGTGATTAACGAACTAGACCCACCATTATGTCAAAAAGTGATTAAAAACTTTGATGAAAGAATCGACATCTGTAACTGTGGTCGTGGTGGACATTTATCAAATATTATTTTTTATTCATAATCGCCAAACCTTACTTTTTTTAATACAATAAAAATTTGAATCATTGTCATCTAAATTTATTTTGATTCACAAAACAAAGTTCTTGTTGAAAAGCCCTTTGAAGCTTATCCACTGCCCTTTAAATGAATTTGCGACCTTGTCAAGAATAACTAGTTTATCTGTTACTATTTTTTATAAAAAATTACTATTCTATTTAACTTATTTTTGTAAATGTACTGTGACGCTGGTATAAGAATGTTAATCTTTTTAATGCTTGGCGACAGAAATAGGTAAGGCGGTAGTAGGTACTTCCCTGGACGAACTCTTTCATAGAGACCTTTACTGCTGCCAACAAGACCGTGACTTTTTAAAAATCTTTTTTGGAGTCGACAAACAGTTACACTTTGCAAGGAGTACACAGTTATAGCTAACAAATAGTAACTTAATGAGTAAATAACATCGTTAATCACGATTTACAATTTTTTTGTTTAAAGATTAATGCGGTTGTTAGTGGCTACAAATGAGCTGCTTATCTCACACCAATTTCATTAATTTATTTCTGTGAAATGTCCGCCTTCCATTTGTTATTTCCTACGACGAATATTTGACGCAACCATATACTTATTGTCCATAGTATTTGTTCATGTTTAAATGAGGAATGTTTTGAAAAATTGAATATTAGCACGTGTTCTAAAAAAATAGGAATGTCTAGAATGCATTTTTGTTTTTCATTCATCGTATAGTTAAGCTTACGTGTATTTACACTTGTATTTCTAGAACATGCAAAAACCGTCTCTTTAACCGACTTGAAGAAAGGGGAGGTTCTAAATTCTATTGCATTTTCTGGTGTAAGTTACGCGATTATTCCGGCATTTGTGAAACCGATTTTGATGATTCTTTTTTTGGTGCCTCAATGTTGGTCCCATTTAAATTTGAAGATATTCCACTTCTAAGGGTGGCAAACTAGGGGACGAATCCGGTTTCGCGCTCTTTCTGGTAACCGATTTCAATAAAACTTGGCAAATAGGATGTAATTCCACGAAATTTTGAGGTCGGTTTTCTTATATAAAAAAAGTTATTAGACTGCTCCACTTGTCATCACCTTGCTTTGCTATGTGTCCACGATCCGAGTTCCACCATCCTGGATTTTCGTCCGTCGTCGGATCTCAACGTTCGGAACTCGGTCTATAAGGCTGATGCCGAGCATGGAGCGCTCCATGACCCTCTGTGGAATTCTCAATCTGAATACAGTCTCCTGCGTGAGCGTCCATGTCTCGGCACCATACGTCATGGTGGGCAGAACAAATGATTAAACAAGTGGGTCTTCAGACACTGTGGAACCTTATCTGATTTTAGGAATTTTATCTAACTTGCTAAACGCAGCCCATCCCAGCTGGGATTTCGTTTCAGGGAGCCATTTAACACGATTAGACCGGGAACACAATTGCCATTATTTGCTGTCCGGCGGGAAAGATTCTCAAATGGCCATCCATGGTGGTATACATCATCACCCCATCAACCAAAAAATGTGTCGGGGCGGGATGCGCCACCGGTGGACATGGTGAAATTATGTTTTATATCTTTCTAATTAACTTATTATCTTAAGTAATTTTTTTTTGTCAGTTCTGTTTTAATACTCGGGAGTTATTTGCTATGTATGAATACTATTTAATATATTAGATAACATCACATACGTTGCCTTAACCCCATAGTAAGTTACTGAAGCACTTGTGTTATGTAAATCGGAAACAACGACGGTACCACAAACACCTAGACCCGAGACAATATAGAAAAATTAGTTTCTACATTGACCCAGCCGGGGATCCAACCCGGGACGATGAGATGGCTACACCATGAAAACCGAAAACATGATAACCTATCACAAAGTCGAAAACTTTTTTGTCCAAAATAACGTTTGTTCGAATTATCATTACACCGAAAACCGAATTATAACGAAACAGTTGTTCTTTCAGGATATGTTGAATATTTATCGCAAAGACACGATTAGGTTCGGTTAGGTTAGGTTAACTTAGGTTTAAAAGCCGAGCGCCGAAGACCTGGAGAGGATCAGGGCAGCGGGCCGCGTTGCCTTAATCCGAAAATGGACGGAGGATCTAGAGGCCCCAGTCGCGGGCTTAGTGACGGTGGAGGCAGTTCGCTCCCACCTAATCCGCTGGGTCGACCGGCGATATGGGTCTCTGTCCTACAGACTGGTGCAGGTTCTCACCGGACATGGATGTTTCGGCGAATACCTGCACCGGGTTGCAGGTCGGGAGACGACCCCTGTCTGTCACGAGTGTGGCGCTCCCGTCGATACAGTGCATCATACCGTGGCAGAATGTGCGGCATGGGGCCCCCAGCGGCACTCCCTGACCGCGGTAGTGGGCGGAGATCTCTCGCTGTCGACCATCGTGAGCGCGATGCTCGACAGTCAGAGGTGTTGGGATGCAATGGCCTCCTTCTGTGAAAGCGTACTTTCGCACAAGGAGGCCTCGGAACGGCTCAGAGAGGACGACCCCCTCGCTGACCCGTTCCGAAGACGGCGGCTGGGGAGACGAAGGAGGCAGTACGCCCACCTTCTTCCCCCGCTGTAGTGAGCCGTGGGGACAGGGGTCGGGGGACCCTATCTCCAAGTCTATGCTCACAAGTGTGAGGGTGCCTTTGTGTTGACCTAGGGCACTCTCTGAAGGCCGGGGCCGCTCACGCGGACCATCCGCCGAGGCGTTCCTGTAGTATGCGTAAGCGGATCCAGGGCGCCTCGCTATGGCGGTGGGGGTTAACCGCTGGGTTTTAGTGTGTATACCGGGCTAGAGCCCGGGAGTCACACATAACCGCTCGCAGCTCCCCCCGAGCCGAGCGGTACGCGTAACGCGTTTCCCAGAGATAAAAAAAAAAAAAAAGGTTTAAAAGAAAAAACCATATTCCTCTCAAAATTACTTTCGAGGTTATGAAATTTCGATCAAACGTTATTTCTGGAAAATGTCATTTCGGACCACTGATAGGTAACCCAGTTAATTTCACATTTATAATATTTGTATGTATGTATCTGCAAAATTCTTTATTATTTCTTTAATTCAATTTGTATAAAATTCAACACAATGTTAATATTGATAATGAATATTAATTAATTAATTAATATCGACAGTAATGGTTACTCCATTACTATTGTGTTCAAGTACTAAGTTTTCATTATTATTCCAGTAGAAGCAGAATATGGGGAATTTTTGGGCCTTCATATTGTTGCAAACAAAATTTTAACTATTTAAATTAAATGTTTTTTTATATTTCTTTATATGTCACTACGTTTACATACGTTAACTCTGGTCATTTTTTTCGTGGTTTTTGTATTAGACCCGTCGTCCATTTGTTGATAGGTCAATGTGTAGACACTGTAATTTGCATACACTGTACTCATAATAATAGATAATAAATTTAGCAAGTCTATCCAGTTTAAAAAATAAATAAAAAATAAAATGTAAATGTGTTGTTAAATAACAAGAACTACTGGATATTTCTTGTAGAATGCCACATCATTAAGGTAATTAGATAATGATTTCTCAAATTCCACACAATTATCGCAATTCTTAATTGCTCTCGGAAGTTTATTGTAGATATTTGAGGCCGTAACAAGTAAATTCTTTGGATGTAGTACATTTTAGAAGTGGTAGTATAGTGAAGTTTTCCATGGTCTAGTCTGCAGTTGATATAAACGGCCTGTATTTAGAAACCAGAACTAAGGGCCGGCGCAAACCGGCGGATGGCGGGGAGAGCGTTGAAGATGATCTTATGCCCGATAGCGCACACTGATGAGGGATATCCTTAAAGCCCGAAATATCGGGAAAATAAAAAGAAGTCATACCGTGGTAAGGAGTCTGAAATTAGTGACAATCATTTAGCCCGCAACACATGTTGGCCGAGCCTAGACCAACGTGAGCGTAGGTTAATTGATTAGACGACTTTTGTGGAGCTGCCTATAAGTTGGCCGCTGTCAGTTTTCATTGTGCACTGAAACAATATGGACGGTGCCGACGTAGAAGTTATTGCTGCTGCTGCGGTTTATTTAATAAGCGCCTAATTATTAAGTCAGTGTATACCGCAGTAAAGGGGATGCTGAGAATTCACAAAATAGAACAAAGTAAAATGAACGTAGAAGAAGGTCTTTGGGGTTCCAAATAGGTTAATTCTGATAAAACTTCAAAAATTTGAAAATATCTTGATTTGTACTGAGCGATATTTTGCACGTATCACCGCGATAGACGCCAACTGGGTAATAGCAGGCGGAAAAACGTGTGTACACCATTGGCCGAGCGAGCGTCTTTGAATTGTGCTGAAAAATCGACACCGCTTCGAAGTGAGACGAGTGGTCGCCAAATGAGCCCTATACACGTTGGCGCTCGCCTTCACTCGGCTAACTAGGCGAGTGACACCGAGCGAAGGCAAGGCTATGCTCTACACGTTACTAATAGGCGGTCTACACGTTAGTACTGGCCTTCACTCGCCTAGGCTCGGCCAATATGTATTGCGGGCGCCTAAGTTTTAAGATATCACGAGTGTCCGCAAGTATACCGTAGTCCGCTGGAATGCCATGGCAACCACCGATACCTATGCCACCGGTCGCTCGGACTTGATTCCGTTCCACTAGGTCTACGTAGTCGAAAAGTGGCGCATTCAGACAGATGTCGTATTTCGTAGCATATCGGTGCCTCCCGCCCAGCCTGCTCTACTCCGAAATAAAATAATAAATTGCGATTTATACCATATTTCAACTGAAATAGCATAAAAAAAGATTTTTTATGATACTAAGTGGTTAACGACACGCCTGTCCATAACTGTCATGGATAGGTGCGTCGTTTACCATCAGGCGCACGACATGTTCGTTCAGTCACTTGGTATTAAAAAAAAAGTTGCAATGCTCGGAGCTTTGAATCGCAAAGATCTGATGGGCACTGCCAGTGCGCTCGTCAGTTTGTGACATAACTTGATAAGTCCTATGTGCCCGTAATTTCACTAGCAACCTGAACCTCTCAAACCGGAACGCAGTGATGCTCATATTAATTCCTGGCGGCAGAAATAGGTAAGGTAAAGAAATAGGTAAGAAATTACGAATCAAAAAAGGTTACAAACCAATAATATATTTTTTTATTATTATAAATGTAAACTCAGAAAAAAGGTTTAGAGAAAAGGTATTTAATTAATAACTATTGTAACTATAGTGAAAAAATGGGGTGGTTTGCATTAATATTAGACATAACTGGTTGAAGACTGTACCACCTCGGTCAACCGTGACCATGGTACCTGTAAAGGGCCCGAAACGTCGGTTTGTTTGAAAAAACAAATACACGCGATTTAAATCCGGAAAAATAGTTTCATTTCCTATGTGTAACAATCGCGAAAACCTAAGAACTCGATATTTAAGTTCATGTTCAGCCACTGTAGGGTTGTGAGCCTTCTTCGACGTTATTTCGATGTGCAGGCTACTGCTACTATAAGTAACCCTTCAAAACTGAAACGCGGTAATGTTCAATTACTCCTTGGCGGCAGAAATAGGTAAGGTGGCAATACTTGCCTGGATGAACTCTTTCACAAGGAGCTCTACTGTTACTTTGATCTGTATTTGATAGTAGGTTCAAACGTGCAAGCGTTCTCTCTGATGACGACCCTCGCGTTTTGCACAGAGTTATGTTATGTTTTGTATGTAAGTAATATCTGAGACGAATTACTAAAAGCCAAAAGTTGTTGTTGATGACGCTAGCAATACAGGTCTGCGAGGTTACTGGACTTTCACGGATAAACCTGTAACTACATTTATTTAGAAATCGAGGAGAGGATGAAAGATGAATTCATTCATTTGTTTCTCACTAGCGAAAAGTTTTCAATGTGGCCTCAGCAATGTTTCGTCGAGAAACGATATTTTACGTTCCATTGTTAAATTTTATGAATTGTGCCCCATAGATACACTTTTAACGATTCCAGTTATGTTTTTGTGAAACTTGAACAATGTTCCTATTGAACTTTTGTATTCAATCATATGCTTTTTTACGCGTATAAAGATAGATATACTTGGGTAGCGTTTATGAAGCGAGTTATAAGAAGTTAAATATTTCATAACAAAAATTCTCAGTGATTCAGACAAAGCGAGTAAATGTTGACAAAGGAACCTTCTTGGTAGATCTTTATAAATATGAAAGATAACTGCCAAGTCAGTGTTATTTTATCTTCAACTCCCGAAGCAAAAAGAGGGGAGTAAGTTTGAAGCCTTTTTCTGTGTAACTGCTATTCAAAATGTCTGTA